TGCAGGGCCTGGGGGTGGCTGTTTGCGGGTGTGACTCCCGCCTGGGGGTGACTGTATGTGTGGGTGTCACCCTGACTGGGGCTGCCTGTGCAGTGAAGCTGTCTGTGACCCCTGCCCCTGCCTGGGGGTGACTGTGTGTGTGGGTGTCACCCTGACTGGGGGCTGCCTGTGCAGTGAAGCTGTCTGTGACCCCCACCTGGGGGTGACTGTATGTGTGGGTGTCACCCCGACTGGGGCTGCCTGTGCAGTGAAGCTGTCTGTCTGTGACCCCTGCCTGGGGCTGCCTGTGCAGTGAAGCTGTCTGTCTGTGACCCCTGCCCCTGCCTGGAGGTGACTGTATGTACGGGTGTCACCCCAACTGGGGCTGCCTGTGCAGTGAAGCTGTCTGTCTGTGACCCCTGCCCGTGGCTATGTGCGGGTGTCACCCCAACTGGGGCTGATTGTGCAGTGAAGCTGTCTGTGACTCCTGCCTGGGGGTGACTATGTGCGGGTGTCACCCCGACTGGGGCTGCCTGTGCAGTGAAACTGTCTGTCTGTGACCCCTGCCTGGGGGTGACTGTATGTGCGGGTGTCACCCCGACTGGGGCTGCCTGTGCAGTGAAGCTGTCTGTCTGTGACCCCTGCCCCTGCATGGGGGTGACTGTGCAGTGAAGCTGTCTGTCTGTGACTCCTGCCTGGGGGTGAATGTGCAGGAGGCTGGATGTGCGCCTGGGACACCTAATGGGGCGACTGTGTGAGAGGCCGGTTCTGAGATTTGTGACCCTGTGGCTGTTCTCGGCCCTTTCCCTGAGCGCCTGGCCGTGTGTCTGTGAGGCCATGTGTCTGCGAGGCCGTGTGTCTGTGAGGCCGTGTGTCTGTGAGGCCGTGTGTCTGCGAGGACCTGTGACTGTCGCTGCCTGTGACTCTGTGGCCCGTGCTCTGGAAACTGCCTGTGTGATGCTGTGAGAGAGGCCGCAGGGTGCCCTGTGACTGTGCGAGATTGTTCCCCGTTGGCACGCCCCTGGGGTTCTGGCTCCTGGCGTCAGTGGCTGTGCCCGTGTCCCTGTGGCAGTGACTGAGTGAGCTCAGGGTGCCGGGCGACCGTGTGTCTTACGTCTTTGTGTGCAGCCCGGTCGGGGTCTTTCCTTTCTGTCACATCACTGGGGGCTGCGTGTTTACGTGCAGCTGACCGTGTGGCAGAGGCTGATGCTGGGCTTTCCCCGGCTGCACAGATGCATTCTGGGGATGCATGGGTGCCCTGCACGGGTTTCTGTGAGACTGTGTGTGTGACCTGGCCTATGTGTGTGGCTGGTTCCTTGTTCCGGGGGGTCGATGGGGAAGTTGGGCCTCTGAGTCTCCACAGTCGGGCTGGACGGTGCTAGGCTGGGTCTGGGCCCTCTGAGCAGGTCCCTGCTGCGGCCGCAGGGCTGACCCTCCTGTCTCTACTCCTGCTCACCTTCTCGTGGAGAACCAGTGAAGGCCTCTGGTCTAAACTCGTCTCCAGGGCCAGGCCGAGTGTTGGCTTGCAGGCAGCAGCTGGAGGAGGAGACCAGGCACTGTTTGGAGAAGGGAGAGAAGAAGGCTGGAGGAGGAGGAGCCCCGCCGGCCCAGGAAGTGGCCCCTCCAGCATCTGCGAGTCAGGCCCCTTCTCTGCAGGGGAAGTTGACTGATAGCACGGAAGGTTTTGTGTGTGTCTTCGAGAGACAGAGAGAGACAGAGAGACGAGGACCTGTATTTGGCTTCAGCAGCCCTGTCTGTCCCGGCTCCTGGCAGGGTAGCTCTTTCGCCTGCTTTGCTGAGAGTGGCAGGAACATTCTCAGAATGGCTGCACCCTCCTTGCGCGGAAAGGCCGCTGATGACTTATCTTGACAACAGACAGAAGATTCTAACAGTCCCTCCTCCGCACGCTGAGAAAGAACCTAGAAGTCAGGCTGCAGTAGCTTCTGTCCTGCCCACGGAGACATCTGCCCTCCCATCATGGCTGCCTTGCAGTTGACCAAGTGCCTCTGTGCACTTAATCTCGTGTTTCCTTCTCAAAAAACTATGTGAGAGGCATGAAGGCTTCAGCTTGAGGAAGGGCCTCTCAGCCTGGGTCTCAGATCCAAACCCCATGTTCCCGGTGTTACTCACCCCCGATCTCGTCCTGACTTAAGACACATTTAGAAATTTTTATTTTTTTAAATTTATTTTTAAAATATATTTTATTGATTTTTTTACAGAGAGCAAGGGGGAGGGATAGAGAGTTAGAAACATTGATGAGAGAGAAGCATCGATCAGCTGCCTCCTGCACACCCCCTACTGGGGATGTGCCTGCAACCAAGGTACATGCCCTTGACCGGAATCAAACCTGGGACCCTTCAGTCCGCAGGCCGACGCTCTATCCACTGAGCCAAACCAGCCAGGGCAGAAATTTTTATTTTCTATGTAACTCACATACCATGAGTTCACCGTTGAACGTGTATAATTCAGTGGTTTTTAGGATATTTCACAAGGTTGTGCAATCATCACCTCTGTCTAATTCCAGAACATTTTCATCACCCCAGAAAGCAGCCCCCACCCCTTAGGCATCACCCAGAGCCTTCCTCCCCGACCCTTGACCCCCGCGCGGCTCTCACCAGCTCTGGATAACCACTAATGCACTTCCTGTCTCTATGGATTTGCCTATTCTGGGCTAATAGACTATGTGGTCTTTCTATGTTCGGCTCCTTTCACTTACCTCATGTTTTCAAGGCTCATCCGCGTGGTCCCACGTGTCAGCACTTCATTCCTTTTTATTTCCGTGGTAGAGATGTACCCCATTTTATTGGACATTGGGGGTTTTTTCCACTAGAGACATTTTACGTGATTCTATGACGCATTATTTTCTCAAGGTGCCAGGGACCTGATGAACATAGAATCATCCTAGCTTTCAGTGAACTTGAGTGAAGTCAGTCAGCAGCATGAGTCGCCCAGCGAGCCAGCCGAGGCAGGGCCGTTTCCTGGAAGGCAGGGCTTCCAGGTGGGATGAGGCTTGAAGAAGAAACAAGACAGAATAGAGAGCCAGCAGGCCGGAGACTCAGGCCAGGCGGCTCTGCCTCCGGCCTGACCTCCCTCAGGTCACTTCCCCTCTCTGGGCCTCGACTCATTCAAAAGGGCTGAGTTCCCTCTTGTGTTTGCTCTTTTGACATATGTGGTTTGTCAAACTGACCTTCCCTGGCCTTTTATCCCGAGAATCAGAGAGAGAGAGAGAGAGAGAGAGAGAGAGAGAGGGAAAATGAATTCAATGGTCTTGAAGTATCTACCCCCAGATCACTTCCTCATTCATCAAAATTCTTCTCGAAGTGAGAGATTCTTAGGGCAGCTGTTTCCTGACCCAGCCTGTCCTGCCCAGTGGCGTGGGAACTGAGGGAAATCACGGGCCTGGCCAGCAAAGCAACACTCGCACTTTTTATTGTTTTCTTTTCTCCCACCCCCATCTCTCATCATCTCCCTTATATCATTTTACGGTTAACCTTATCTCATTCCTTTGTGAGAACAGGTAGAGAGCGCCAGAGCAGAAAAATCCATAACCTTCAGGAATGGATCATCACATTATGCTTGACAAACATTCAAGATGACTGATTTTCTTGGGCACATCTCCAGTTTCGTTCTGGGGGGTTGGGTCAGGATTTCTGAGCGTCGGCACTGCTGACATTGGGGCCTGAACATTCTTGGTTGTGAGGGGCTGTCTTGCGGATTGTAGGCTGTTTAGTCGCACTCTGTCCTCTACCCACTAGATGCCAGTAGCACCCTCCAAAAAAAGGCTCTGGATATTGCCCAGGGTCCCCTTCGGAGAAACATCGCCCCTGGGTGAGCACCACTGCGTTAGACCCAACCTTCTCTTCGAAGTCTGTGGTGTTGGGCGGGGGGGGGGGGGCGTTGAGTGGTTTTGTATATGCTTCACTTCGAGACCCAATCTCACAGCCCTGTGGCCAGCAAAGCCCTCCTTGATTAGTCTACTTCTTCAGGATGGAGCAGGGCGTGTGAGAACGTGGCACCAGTGCATGCCTGTGCATGCTTATACACTTAATAAATAGAGTTAATAAAACGAAGGGGTTCCAGAACCCTCTGGCATGTGTCCCTTGCTGCCCAGCCCCCTCCCTGCATCAGCTCTGCACCCTTTTCCCATCCCTGTCAGGTTTCCGTCCTCGGTCAGCCGTGCATCTCTCCCAGCCATCACTGCTTTCCAGGTTTCTCTTTCCCATTCAATGGGCTCCTCTGTGTAACATACAAAACACGCCAAGTCCCAGCGGTGCCGTTGTTTGGTGCGTGTGTGTGTGTGTGTGTGTGTGTGTTCTCATTTCAGTTTTCTCCTTGAAAGGGAGCGGGGAGGAAAAATTACAGTTGGGGCTTAAGTCATGGTTACTTTTGGAGCCTCCCCTCTTGGCCTTTTAACTTTTAGAAAATATTAAATGTCCCTTTCTTTCATGTATGTAAATCAATCGCCTAGGAGGTTTTATACTCAACATTTAAGCCTTTTTGAGAATCACCAAGAGCCATCAGACCCACAGACAGACAGCCTGATCCTGGCTGTGAAAGACTTGCCTGGAGTGTGTTGGTTTTTGGCTTTTTTTTAAACCCGAATGTTGAGGCTTAGAATGGCGTCGATCACTCGGTTACGGCCTAGCTCCGGGGTCGGCAAACTGCGGCTCGCGAGCCACACGCGGCTCTTTGGCCCCTTGAGTGTGGCTCTTCCTAAGCCTTAGAAGAACCCTAATTAAGTTAATAACAATATACTACCTATATAGTTTAAGTTTAAAAAATTTGGCTCTCAAAAGAAATTTCAATCGTTATACTGTTGATATTTGGCTCTGTTGACTAATGAGTTTGCCGACCACTGTAGGGCCTAGCTTGAAGGAGGAAATGGTTTCTCTGAAAACACAGCCCCCTCCCTTAAAAAAGAAAAACAGGATAAGATCCAAACACCACCCCACCCCACCCCCCCCAGGAAAGTTGAGAACGGGAGGGCTGCGGAGTGCCTTGAGCAGCAATGCCAGATAGCAATGTTCAGTTACCAGATATTGATCCAAGATACTGTGGAAGGAATGTGGGTAAACATTGGGAAACTTCTGAATTCCTCCGTGGGAATGACCCCGAGGTACAGCCGAGCAGGCTTGGCGAGGAAAGGGTGTGGCTGTTTAGAAATCGCCAGGTTTCCTGGACGTCCGTCTGTGTCTTCTTCAGACACCAGAGCGGAGCCTGTGGGACTCGTGTCGCAGGCTGGTGGCTGGTGCTGTCTGTGATGTGACGTTCTCTCTCTTCTCCCTAGTTGGAGGCTGGCAGCGATGAAGATCGGAAGTTAAACCTCAGGTAAGCAGGCTTTTCATGTTCCTTCTTAAGTCTTCTTTCAAGCAGGTAAGAAATACTCCTGTTGTTTTTTTTTCCAAAAGGGAAGGCCCTCAAAATAGGATACGCCGATTTTTTAGTAGCGTCTTCATTATAAACAGTTTTAATAACATTATATAATGTGTAGGAAAGAAGGAAAATAATTGCCATTATCCTACCACCCTTGCTTTACCATTATATACTTTCTTCCAGATTTTACCCTTTGCTTTAAAAAAAAAAAAATCCTGTAATATGCCCTCACATTTCTATCCTGCTTTTGGTAGGATCTTTCTTTTGAGGTAAGGACATCGCTGATTTGAAACAGATAGTCAACCCTCTTAAGTTTATTAATTCAAGGTGTTTGTGTGTGTGTGTGTGTGTGTGTGTGTGTTTGTGCTTGTGAGAAATCTTTATGCTCGTTACAAAAATTCCTGAAGCTACCCATAGTCCTCAGTTGCTATATTCAATAGTAGACACCAAAAGCATTTTTTTCTTTGCCCCCAAATTAAGGCTTTCCCTTTGGGCATTTTGTTGGTTTATAGGAGATTTAGCGCTTTGTTATATAATGTATTCCTCTGTGCCAGGGAGCCATTCTTAAACTCTGACTCTTACAGTTCAGAAGAGTAAACAGTTTCAGGGACATTGTCCTTTAAAAAAAAAGAAGTCGGTTTCATCTTGTGAGGAGGAGGAAAATTAATTGGAAAAGGAAATATGTGATCAGAAACTGGTACTCATTACCGAGAGCAGGATGTCCCCCGGGTTAAAACCCGAGGACAGCGTGCAGAAGCCGTAGGAATGTGCTCGGCCCGTTGGTGAAGTTTCCGCGCGTTTGAGAGAAGGGAGGGAACATGCTTTTATGGTGGCACACGTGATGTCTAAACCTCCCGTGCGTGTGGGGAAGCAATAGCCTGCAAAAATCAAAGAGATGTCATATTTCAATCGCCCGGCCCTCATTTTCACGTGATGCTCGTGGAAGGAGCAGTGACGATGACAGGTTTACTCTTTCACCTGGTGTTTTTGGTAGCTCCGGGTCTTGGCCAGGGCTGGCAGGCTGGAGTCAGCCAGGTTCCCAAGTGGGGGCAGTCACGGGCCGTGTTGCAGAGCACGCTGGCACGTTGCTCTCTGCTTGGAGGCAGGGAGGGGAGGAGTGGAGGTCTGCTCCTCAGAGACTGTGTAGGGGCAGCACTGGCAGAAGGGCTGTCGCTGTGACCACCGTGCGGCGCCCTTAGAGCAGCTGCAGGCGCCCTCCAGCTCTTACCTGGAATCGGAATCTCACCCTTTCACCCCCATTCCTTTCCTGCAGGGCTCTGGCCCACGACATAGGTCTCTCACTTAGATGGTCTTTGGGGCAAAGAACTATTTTTGGCTTTCTTTCATTGCCCTTAATTGGCTTGACAGCATCGTGTTTTGAAATGTTTTCAGTTAAGAACTTACCAACAGGCCTGGCTGGTGTGACTCAGTGGTTGAGCGTCGACCTATGAACCAGGAGGTCATGGTTGGATTCCTGGTCAGGGCACATGCCTGGGTTGCAGGCTCCATCCCCAGTGTGGGGCATGCAGGAGGCGGCCAATCAATGATTCTCTCTCATCAGGGATGTTTCTATTTCTCTCTCCCTCTCCCTTCCGCTCTGAAATCAATAAAAAATATATATATATATATATATTTTAAAAGAACTTACAAACAGCTGTGATATGAAAAATATATATTTGCCCTTCTGGCCATAGAAGGCCCCGTTCTCTTCGCAGTTTGGAGCTGGAGAGGACCTCACAAGGAAAGGAAGCCCCACGGTATCTGTTGCCATATTTAATCCCACCACAATCCTATGGGGGAAGTATTTTCCCAGTTCACAGAGGAGGAGCCTGAGGTCCAAGTTACATGTGGGACGTACTGCGTTTATCATCCTGCTCTGCCTCTTGGAACCACTTCAGTTCAGTTGGATCACTGTCTCCTACAGGTGAGGGAACTGCCTGAGGTCACCCAGGTGGCTAGAGGCAGCACACGCCGGACCGAGGGCCGCCACTGACTTGTGGTGGTGACTCCCAGGATGCCCGGTCCCTCTGAGGACCACTCTGAGTTCCCCTTCACTGCTCTCAGCAGGTCCCCGGTGCCATTGTGAGCCTGGGAGACCCTGGCTGGAGTTGGGGGCCGAATTCTGAGCTTATCCTCTTAGGTTCCTTTTCCCGTCCCTCTTCCCTCCTCATGTTCAGGCAGAGAGACACCAACCAGCTTTCTAACCGTCTAGCCAAACAAGAACAGTCCTGGTGTCCCGGTTTAAGCTTTGACTGAAACTCACCCGCATCCATGTAATAATTTGTGCATTTTCAGGCCTTTTCTCGCCAAGCCTGCCCTAGAGAAAAAAAATGTATGGAATAGTCTGTTGGTTTTGCTTGTTTTGGGGGGAGGAAAGTTAGGGAGAGCAGATTTCTCTTTGCTTCAAATTGATTCCGAAGGGAAACTGGCATGATTTCATTTCTAAAGGATGTTGGTAAGAGAGAAAAACGGGGGGCAACAGTTTATTTCTCTCTCTTCTCTCCCCTCTGTCTACCCTTAATTGATGGTTTCATCTATGGGGTCACCCCCTCTTGCACATGCTGTTTTCCAGTCCTTCTCGCTGCTCCCCGAGCACGCTCTTTCTCTTAAGCCAGTTCTTTTTCACTGGCCACATCCTCCCAGCCAGGTCCAAGGGCTCCCACCCCACTGGTTTGCCACGCCCCTCTCTGCAGAGGAAACAGGTAGCTCTGGGTTTCTCCATCGGTTCCAGGTACCACGCCGGCCGAACGTGGCAGGTGCTTGTGCTTTCGTGTCGTCCCTAACTCTCGGTGCTTCCCTTGGTGGCAGGGCCTTGTTCCCCGCCTGCATGTAACATTTCCACAGTTTAAATATATTAACGTAGCTTTGAGCCTGCAGTAAATCACGTACACGTATGAGAACGAGCAAGGTCCCGTAGAGGAAAAATGTGGGGTTCGGGGCCAGGCAGATGCAGGTCGGGGATCTGGCTCCTGCCCTAGCAGCCCAGTTCCTTTACCTCTGTGCGTTCCTGCACCTCCGTGGGTCTCAGTTGTCCATCTAAGACAGAGATAAACTACGGCCTTTCAGGGTCATCGGTAGATTGCATGGGCTCCTCTCACAGAGTCAGGCCCACGACGGGCTTGGAGAGCCGTCGCTGGGTTTGGTCTTCCTACGATGCTGCTCAGATCAGTTAGTTCACAGCATTGAACTAGAGGGGCCGACTCCTGCGGGAGTTGTGTCTCTTGTGTCACGCTGGGCCGGCCCCGAGAGGGCCACCACGGCATGCCCTGCACCCCTGACCGGGCTGCACCCCCCTGCGATGCAGATAGCAGTGCACGCTTGCAGAGTCAGTGTTGCGATTCCGACAGTTTCTCTGAAAGGCCTTCTGGAAAACGTCTCAGGAACCGATCATCTCCCGCCCAGAACGAAGCTGACGACGCAGAGCAGTACAGGCCCCGTTCCCTCGCTCCGCTCCCCGGCCCGGCCCTGCGTGTGCAGACTGCTGCCGGCCTCCGGCAATCCCCTTTTGGAAGCCGTGCTGTTCAGACTGTGGGAATTGGTGAGCAGATGGCCCTGCTGGCAGCGGCTCCTGGCTCCCTCGCCATCCTGGGAGCTGCCTCCGCCTGGCAGGCGATGTGAGTGGTTGTGTGCCAGGCGGGGCCCCAGGAGAGAATATGGTTGTGAGGATCAGGAGTGAATGTTGTTGTTGTTGTTGCTTTGCAGCATTTCCAAATCAAGCGCATGAAAATGTTCATGAGCGCTCTTTTAATTTTCTTCTTGCCTGGCCAAGCCAATGTTTGGGCCAGAGCAGCAGGATTTCGTCTTCTCTGTTTTATCTGGTGTCCGTGGTAAACTGTAAAGCCCCTTAACAGCCCTGCCTTTTCCTCCACGATTCCTTCCCCTTTGGTCTTGACCTGGAATTCCCCGGAGGACCCATGCTCCTCAGAACCTTTACGTGTGGCTGTGCCTTCTCCTCCTCCCCCATCGCGTCAGGGTGGTCTCCACAGACCACGCTTCCTCGTCTCCATTTAGCACCTCTTCTCTTACGCCTGCCCGCCCTTTGGGGTGCCTCCTGCCTTTCTCGGCGATTTCTCAGCCTGGACTTGATCATTCCTGATCTGAGGATAAGCTGCCTGATCTGAGGATAAGCTAAGTTCTGCCAAGAGGTGCCCGGCGTCCGCTGCCTCCAGGCTCTCCGCAGCGGGTTGCTATGTCAGTGAGCCGTTGCTGTGTGACAAGTGACCGCACACTCTGGGTCCAGAACAGGGTCTGGCTATTATCTCCCGTTTCCATGGGTCAGGAATCCGGACACGGTTCAGCTGGGTCCTCTGCTTGGGGTCGCACGTGGCCACAGTCAGATGTTGGCCGGTCCGGGGTCTCATCCAAGGCTCGGGTCCTTCTCCACAGTCAAAGTCACACTGGTTCATGGCAGAGTCCGTTTCCTTTCGGCTGTAGGAGCCGCGGCAGCTCGCTGCTTCCAGGCCGACAGGAGGAACTGCGGCCACGGGGTCCTGGGACTGAACGCCATCTCGGGAGGGACCATCCCTCACCTTTCCCGGACAGGGTCACCTAACTAAGGGAGCAGCTCTCCCACCTTGTCCCCTGGCCCCACAACCGTCGGGATAGGGACTCACTTGGGGTGCCTGCACCAGGGGCCGGGGAGGTCTTGAGATGCCCCCATCCAGTGTAGAGAAAGCAGTCATGGGGCTGAGCAGGCGTCCGTTCGGTGTGACAGAAGTAGCAGGTGTGGGTGTGGTAAAGGTGATGCCACGTGTGGGATGCTCAGTCCTGGCGGGAAGAGGAGCATCAGGAACCCACAGGGATTGGCCACCGTGATCTCTGCTCAGCACCGACCCCCTGGGCCGCATCTGGAGGCGTGGGGTCACTCGGATTCGCACCCACTTTGAATATTTTGGCCTCTGAAATAGCCATCCCCACTGACCCTTAACCTAAGCTTTGGTCTTAGGGAGAAATAG